TATCCACAGTAATTGTCTGTCCTGGCTGTGGAAGTCAGTTGTGGATTCTGGGGGGGCTGTAAATTGAGGCTGCTAATTGTACTTCCTTCCCTTAACCTGTAGCCCATTGGTAGCATGCTGTGTCATCAGTGCTGCAGCCTTAAGCCCACTAGCCTCCTGCATGTGCTAATTTGTACAGGCCTGAAAAATGCAAAAAGAATAGTTAAAGGGCTCATCTCTGTAGCATTAGTTGAGATAGCTGTTTGGAATTCCCTCCCTGTGTGAATGCTGTGTTCCCCTTTCCTCTTCTGTAACTGTTCTGGGTTAATCCCTATAACCATGGATTATGGCATAAAACGCTCTGCTCAGCCAACTTTAAACTGGTTCTGTTCAACAGTCATTGGATGTTCTCGTTTCAGGAAGTGATCATCCTATCACTTTTTCACCAGTTTGCCTTCATTGAGTCTGTATTTCTACACTTAATTAGTCACAGCAGATCTAGGTTTCACAGTAACCAGAGTGGAATCTTATGGCCACAGGCTGCAAAACACCACCATTTTCAGTTACCAAACAACAGTCATTTATCACTAATGATGGGATACATACATCCTGAGAAATATGTCATTAGACCATTTTTCACTGTGGGATCATCACAGAGTGTGTGCATAAACTAATATGGCTGCAGTGTCACTAGGCAATATGATCTTATAGGGCCACCATCACATAGGACGTGTGTCTTTGATCAGAACATCATTATGTGGTAGGTGGTGATACTTACTGGACGCCTGCCCTTAGCGATGGGTACGTGAGCAACACAGTTCAGTAATTCCATCCCCTCCTGCCTCCTCCTTTCCATTAGTCACTGAAACAGGCTCATTTGGAGTCAGTGTGGGGCATGCGAACATTATATGAGTGTCGCTATCTTTGCCATGCTCTCTGCAGAAGAGAGCCCCATCTCCAGAGGAGACCAGGGAAGCCCAAAGTGTGGGCAAGGTCTGCTAGGATGGACATCAAGAGATCCTCTCTTGAAAGAGAATACTAGGCAGGAAGGCACAGAAGTCAGAGACTCACAGCCTGATTGCAGTGTGTGAAATATTCACAGACAGAGACAGTGAGCCCCCGGGGGAGGACTATATTTAGTCAAGATTCTAGACAGGCGGATCTCATTCATCTTTGTGCTTACCTCACACTATTTACATTATAAGCCACACCACAAGCCATAAAGTTGCACATCTGAATGAATTTATTTAAGAGTTGGGGTGTGGCTTAAGGGTAGAGCTCTTATCTAATATAATATGTATGTGGCCTTGGGTTCTATCACAGCACTGAAATTTTAAATGGACTTTAAAAACCTAACTGATACTTCGGTCAGAGTGAATTCAATCTTGGGTCACCAGAGGGAATACCAGTTGGAAAAACAAGCAAACCTCTTTTGAAATCCATTTGGAAGCTCTTTTGGAATCCCTAAGAATGCCATACCTACTCCCAGTAACTCTTCTAGAAACTTTATTAACAAAAAAAAAAAAAAATCAGACACACACACACACACACACACACACACACACACAAGACATGTAAGTGTTCATCCTAGTGTTAAATCAGAAGCAGTCTACATTTTGATAATGTGAAACAACTAAACACATATGACATCTTTATAATAACACATCTTTATACCACTGTTAAAGATATCCTTTCAGAGGCTGGAGAGATGGCTCAGCAGTTAAGAATGCTTCCTGCTCTTGTAGACAACCCAGAACCCCATTGGGAGGCTCACAACCACCAGTAACTCCAACTCCAGGGAGATCTGACACCTAGTTCTTGTGGACATCTGCACTCATATGCACACACACACACACACACACACACACACACACACACACACACAAATCCTTTTTGAAAAAGATATTAGTTCAGAAAGTGGTAGGTGATCATAACATGAAGTTAAATAGATTAAGCAAGTTACAATTCCAAATTTCAATATCTTGTTTTGCATATGTATACATTTTGAGATCACAGGGCTTTACCAGAGGCATCCACAATGGATCTAGAGATGACAGTACTTTCACAGCAGAAGCTGAGCAAAAAAGGGTACCTAGCAGATCAAATTGTCTGCCAACTGAGTTTCTTCTTAGTCTCAGGTTCTGCTCCTTAGAAGGACAGTGGTTTATGTGTGCCTCACAGTAGCCTGATCTATTGCGGAACAGCTCTGTTACAGAGTTGTTTGTTTGTTTGTTTTGTTGTTTCTTCAAGACAGGGTCTCACTGTGTAGACCAGGCTCTGCCTCCCAAGTGCTGTAAAGGCTTGCACCACCTTTAAGAGTTCTTACACAATTGCATCATCCTACAGAAGCCTTGAGAAGAGTGGATGGTAATCTCTGTCAATCACTCATAGGACATTTATCTGTCATCACTGCCAAGAAGGGCATCTGTCATGGAGAGTGTGGTGGCACACACCTTTAATCCCAGCACTCAGGCAGGTATACCTCTGAGTTCCAGTTCAGCCTGATCTACATAGTAAGTTCCAGGACAGCCAGAGACAGAGAGACCCTGTCTCACAAAATTGAAAAGAAAAGAAAGGTTCCTGTTAATGCTCCAAAATCAAATATAAAAGAAGCTCCCACCCAACTGACCCATTTGAGCCGTTATGTAAACATTTCAAAAAATAGTAATTTAGTTACTTTAAAAAAATATTTGTATCTTCCCTTTTCTGAAAACTATTTGATAGTGAGCCTATAGGTTTGTTTCATCTGAGAATGACCCACAATAGTCATGCTTTTGGTTTTGAAGGAGTAAGTTTATTAAATATATAGCAATAAGGAATAAAAAATAAAACAGCAAAAATACAGTGGGCATCAGATTAGATACAACATCCAACTGACTGAGGAAACTTCTACAACCAAAACAGTCAGAGTGTGTGCCGGAGAAGGTCCGGCAGAATGTTCCCTGGGTGAAACTTGTAATTAGCCATCCACCACAGGCATTTTTATGTTTGTGTCAAGGGATAAACAGTAGCAGAGTTTTACTTTTACTTTGGGAAGTTGCCTGGAAATGATATACCTTCTAGCTGTGTTCAAGGCCATGCGGTTTTTATTCTAACAAGCTGTTCTCCTGGTCTCATGGAATCTTCACTCGGGCTGATTTCTATTCTCCTTTATGTTTCTCACAGGCCTGAGTAGACAAGGGGTATTTGAGGACATGCTGACATAAACATGCTTGGGTCTGAAATGGGACAGGGGCAACGCAGCTTCTCAATGAGTTAAACTTCACCAAAGAATTCACTAATACATTTTACAAATTAATTACTATGTACTTTTTTACAATTTACTAATATATATTACAAATATTCAGGGTTGAGGAAAGGACTGTTTTTTCTCTTAAGACATGGTTCAGGAAACGAGCAGCTATTTCAGGTTGTCAAGGTAGGAACATCAAACTAGAACTTGGCTTCACTCACCAGGATTATGATATGATTCCTCAGAAATCCAGAAAACTGAATGGATAAATGAGAGAGAAAAAAAAAAATCCTACCCTGCTAATCCCAGACCTGAAGAAGGTCCCTGCCATGCTTATCCAAGGGTTCACAGTCCTGCTTCTGGGAAGGAAATATACCTTCTCAGGTCCATGTGCCTGGCATCCTCTGTGTTGATGAGAAGATAAGACCACAGACACCGAAGCAAGTTCACCACTATGATTTCATTCAAAATTAATCTAAAGCACTCATTGTTGGCAACTGGAGCACCTGCATTGGTACTTGTGTCCAAACTCTGCACCTAGATAATGCATCCATTAAGTTACCTATGTAGGTGTCTGCTCAAACACCTACATAGTACAAACCAAGGGTAAGACAAATGGGTGGGAAAATGGGGAGTTCAAGAGTCCCTCTGCAGCTGCCACCATTGGTGGAAGCAAACCACACTGACCATGTTCCTTCCTAAGGACATACTCTCTTCCCCTTAAAGCAAGAGAATTAAGGCAGGGAAAAGACCTGTGTAGTAGTGCACACCTTTAATCCCAGCACTCAGAGGCCAGAGGCAGGCGTATCTCTGAGTTTGAGGCCAGCCTGGTCTACTTACTGGTCTACAAAGCAAGTTTCAAGACAGCCAGAGCTTCACAGAGAAACCCTGTCTTATAGGCCCCACTCCAGGGAGTGCAGGAGGGGAGGAGCACGAGAGGCTTGAGAGAGTGGATTCTGACACATGACCACTCTGGGTGGCAGCCCTGGCCTTTGGGCGTGTGCTCTCATTTGTCTTTGCAAAGAGCAATTTCTCGCCCCAGATGGTCCATAGAGAGTGTCCCAGTGCTGAGATCCAGACAGACATCCTAATGCTCAGCTTTCTTCCCCGGTTCTGTTTGTTCCTTAAAGTATTGCCCAGGAAGTGCCTTTAGTGGGAAAACCATGACAACAACTCTTTGTTTTAGAAATGGGACAGCCCTGCATTGCTGTTCCAGCATCTGAGGTAGTGGGGGATTGGAATACCAACAGAGACACTTAATTAAAAAGGACACAACAGAAGAAAAGAGTCAGGAAAGACAGAGCAGAAGCACTGAACACAGACGGCCAACCCCAGCATAGACAGCACAAGGGGCTTGCTCCCTGTAAAGGAAGAAATTCCCAACGGTTAAGAGGTCCACACGTGAATGGCTCTGCCTGTAGCTGGCAGCCAGGGAACCTGGCCAATAGCCTTGCCAGCTCCAAATACCAAGACTGGCCATGGTGACATTGCAAAGAAATGGTTCTGGAATCTCACTAACTTCCCATAGTAAGGAGAGGTAGTTATTAAGGGAATTAGTAAAGGCACATGGGAATGAACTGTGTCCTGTAGCAGTTTTCAGCCTGCTATGACAAGCACCTGCATGTAGTTGTTAGAAATTAAACCAGACTGGTGGTACACATCTAAAATTCCAACCCTTAAGGATGGCCAAACCAAGGCTAGCCTGCATTGCATAGCAAGACTCTGTCCCAAACCAAATTAGCTGACAGAGTCCAACAGTTCTTAACCTGTGTCTTTTCTTTGCCTTCAGGTTCATATTGGCCAACTGTATTCAACTGACAAGCTTATCATTGAGAATCAAGAGACGCCCAGGACATAGGAGCCCAGCACTAGGAAACAGCCTCCAGCAGCAGAACCGACCACCTTCAGCATCCATTCTCTATGCTGTGGAACCTCCCAGTGCTGGCTGAACAGAGCCTCTTGCTCTTCCTGCCTTGTAGGAGCTGATAAACTGGGTCACATTTGCATTCTGTCACAGCCATAATGTGAAGAAATGGCTGTGCATCCTCAATCCAAGTGTTAGAATGAAGAGCTGGAGGTCACTAAGAATAATGCCATGTGTTATTGTGTCTCCTCTCCATCCCTCCCATCTTACAGATCACCCATGTATAGAGCTTTTGCAGACTTTGTGTCTTAGTCCTTAAAAATAAACAGAATTATCTCCCTATCCTTTTATACCAAATAAACCCATTACAATGAATGTGCATTTATTTCCTGACAAGACAGGAACAATACAAGTGGGAACCCAAAGGGAAGGTGCCACCATTGGCTGAAGATTGCCTTTGTGAAGGCAAGTCTAGGCACCAGGTCAGTCTCAGGTAATAAGGACATGAATCAAGATGAGTCCAAGGTGCAGCCCCACCATTCAAATCTACAAGCTCAGAGTCCCAAGTCCCTCCACAACCTATGTACATTGGAATCTTGGTTCTGGCAATCCCCAGGGGAAGACATGAACACTGAAGTCCAGAAAGTACCATGTGTAGTCCTGTGGCCCAGATTTGATTAACACCAGGGTCACTGGCATGCCATGTGAGTGCATATTACCTACTCTGTTTAGTACCTTAGAATCATCAGGGAATGAAATGCCCGGAGATTAAAATGTCTAAAATACCATTTTGGGGGACTAGAGAGATGACTCAGCCTTTAAGAGTACATTTTCATCTTGTAGAGGACCCAGACTCTGTTCCCAGTACTGGGACGGAGGCTGCCAACCATCTGTAACTCCAGTTCCAGAGATGTGATGGCCTCTTCGGGCTGCTGGAGTCACCAGGTATACACATGATGCATATACATACATGCAGGCAAAATATTCATAAAAAATTAAACCTTAAAATTATTTTTTCAAAAATAATGAAAACAAAATAACAATTATTTGGTGACACTCAGCCAGTCAGCAGTGGCCACTGCCTTTGAGCCTCTCCCAGGTATTAAAAATGTAATGTGTTGTAGAAATCCATTCCTTCCAAACACAAGGCACATACGACATAACTTTCTTAACTTCTGAGGAGTTTCCAAGGACCTATCCCCCTGGAAGAATTTCTTCTCAGTGCTAAGTAGGTTCTGGATTCTTGTCAGAATTGGAACAGGCATGTAAATAGTGCAGGTACTACTGTAGCTAGACAGGTTGTCACTAATTCTTGTAGCATTCATGTGACTTGAATACAAGCAGTCTGTCACCCTACCTTAAAAGTCATGGAAGTGGGGTTAGGCATGTGAGTCTGTCTACAGTAAGGTACTTGCCATACAAGCCTGAGGACCTGAGTTCACATTCCTAGCACCCATCTAAAAAGCTTGGCACACCAGCATGGTAACTCTGGAGCTGGAGGTACAGACATACAAATCCTAAGAGCTCGCTGTCCAGCCAGCCAGTCTAGCCAAATTGGTCAGCTCCAGATTCAGTAAGAGACCCTGCGTCAAGCATTAAGGTGAAGAGTAATTGAGGAAGACACCTAGTGACGTCAACCTCTGACCTCCACATGCATGCACACATATATATGTACCCACATGAACATATATACATGCATGCACCACACATACATAAAGTCATGAGTGAGCCAGGTGTTGCACATCTGTACAGGAGCACTGAGTTTGGGGCTGATTTTGGCTACATAAAAATTCTAAGTGAGCACAGACTACATAGATCCTGTCACAATTGTTCACCCTGGTGTCTGTGCAGTACAAATTCTCTCATGGTCATGTACACAGACATTCTATTTTGCAGTACAACTTTAATTTTTAAAAACTAGTGTGCAAAGTAAGGAGCTTTAGTGTTTTATTGCTGCAAAGAGACACCATGATCACAACTTTTTTTTTTCTGTTTTTTTTTGTTTTTTTTTTTTTTCCGAAGACAGCTTTTCTTTGTGTAGCCCTGGCTGTCCTGGAACTCATTCTGTAAATCAGACTGGCCTCAAACTCAGAGATCCACCTACCTCTGCCTCCGGAGTGCTGGGATTAAAAGCATGCGCCTATGCCTCCCAGTTACACAGCAACTCTTGACAAGGAAAGCATTTCAATGGGGTTTGCTTACAATTTCAGAGGTGTGGTCCATTGTTATCATGGTGGGGAGCATGGTGCTGGAGAACTCATTGGGAATTCTACATCTGGATCCACAGGCAACAGAAGAAAGAGACAGGTACTGGCTTGGGCATTTATCACCCCTAGGGACACACTTCCTCCAACAAGGCCACACCTAAACCTCTCAAGTAGTGCTACTTCCTGATGACCTAATTCAAATATGTATATGAGCCTATGGGGGCCGTTCTTATGCAGACCACCACAAGTTTCGTTATGGAATTTTCATACCCATGTGTCATACTTGTTCTCATTCACCCAGTTATGAACTCTTAATCTCAGAATTAAGTCTTGTACACCTGTTAGAGTAGTGAAGACAACTGGAAGTCTGGACTCTGGTTCCACTGGTTCCACTCCTGGGAGCTGAGGTAGTGAAGAAGCAGGGCATTCAGCCTGGGTGAACAAACATGATATGGGAAATGTGTTCTCGCCTTTCAGCTGACTTACGGAACAGTGTCACCCAGTCCTGGTGGAGGTGGTACTTGCTGTTTACACTGAGCATCAATAAAATATGTGGTCACTCACCATCTAACACCAATGCTATGGACAATGCTCTCTATTAAAGTAGCTGTATTGTGCAACCTAAGTCATCCCCCTGAAAGTGTCACACTGCAAACAGAATGGCAGCTCCGTGGGAGATGCCTCACAGGATAGCTTCCACAGACAGTCCTGGAGTAAACTTGGCTTGTTCTGCAAACTGTTGACTGCTGGCTGCTTTTGTGTTAATTAAACCTCATAAATGGGTTTGGACATGCTCAAGGCTTGATAATTCAGAGATAATTCTTGTAACTTAGATCAAATTAACTCTGTATTTGGGGATCTGCACAAAAAAAAAAAAAAAAAAAAAAAAAAAAAAAAAAAAAAAAAAAAAAAGAGAATCAAGACAGAAAAGCCCACAAACAGGAGTCGGCTGAGCAGAGCCACACATTGGGTGTTCCCCAAATGCAGAGGACTTCAACTTGATGGTAGGGCTTCGGAGAAAGTGACATCTAACTGGTGTTTGTAAAATGCAGCCATCTGCCTGGCCGAAAGCCCCAACTGTAGAGGTTGGGCCAGGCAATGTGATAGAAAAGCTGTACCTCTTCCCCAGGCCATCTCAACTTTGCCAGAGTATGCCACTGCTCTGAAGGTGCCACGGGTCTCTCAGTGTCAGCAGCTGCAGGTGAAAAATTCAAAAGCCACTCTTCAAGCAGCCCATTCCTAGACCTGCAGGTGGGTTGGGTAGGCCAATCTGGTTTTAGAGCAATGGTATGTAGACAGGTGTGAAGCTATGTTGCTCTGATGGCCCTTGGTGGAACTAAGAGAACATCCTCAGGCTGTGACATAGATTGATTTGCATGCATGCTGTCCGCAGTCACCTTTAGCCCTTCCCTCATAGTCACGCCCAACACTGAATGCCTATTATTTCCAAAGACTGGAAGCATTGCTCTTAATTTTGCCAGTGCTACAGATAACCCTGTGCATTCTAGGAAAGTGCTGTGTCATGGAGCTACAGCCTTGTGTGTATCATGCCGAGAAACACTTTGAAAGACATTCCTAGAGACAGTTTACCTGTAGCTCTATAGAACAGATATGCACCAGTAGGGAGAGCTACGGAGAATTTTTCTTTTTGATTGTTTGGGGTTTTTTCTGTTTTTGTTTTGTTTTCCTTCAAGACAGGGTTTCTCTGTGTAACAGCTCTCTCTGGCTGTCCTGGAACTCGCTTTGTAGACCAGGCTGGTCTTGAACTCATAAAGATCCACCTGCCTCTGCCTCTGAGTGCTAGGATTAAAGGTGCTCATCACCACCTCCTGAGAAAGAATGTTTTCTATATTTAGCAATAGAGGGTAGTTTTTTTTTTTTTTTTTTTTTTTTTTGTAATGGATGTGGAAGATTGAGCTATATGTTGGCCTCCTATCTCTAAGGAACACACAGTAAAATATCAGGTTTAAAGAAAATACAAAACACATTTTAACTAAAAAAGCTGCTTTTTTGTTGTTCAGTACAGTCTGCCCTCTATTAGTACAAGGTTTCCCACCCACAGATCAACTAACCACAGAACCAAAAGCCACGTGGAAGCACATGCCCACGGAGCTGCACGAGCTTCTTATTGCTGCCGTTCCTAACAGTAACATTTAACAAGTACTGACACCCATTGAGATTTCAAATGATTTGAAATCTAGAGAAGAGTATGTAAGCTCTTGGTTTTTTTGGTTGGTTGATTGGTTTCATTTTGTGGATGTTTTTTGTTGTTTTGGTTTCGGGGGGTTGTGTGTTTGTTTTGGGGTTGTTTTTTTTCTTGTTTGTTTGTTTGTTTTGTTTTTTGAGACAGGGTTTCTCTGTATTTTTGGAGCCTGTCCTGGAACACACTCTGTAGACCAGGCTGGCCTCGAAATCACAGAGATTATGCCTCTGCCTCCCGAGTGCTGGGACTAAAGGCATGCGCCACCAATGCCTGGCTGAGTGCGTAAGTTCTATGCAAATGCAATCCCTTTTAATGTAAAAAAAAAAATGAGCATTGCAGAATCTGAACTTCATAGTGGCTCTGGAATCAGTCCCTTGCATTTACCAAGGGACAGTTGTACTTCATACTAACTGCTATTGCCTTCTAGATCAAAGGACATCTTAGGTGTTGGAGACAGACTATAAAAACAACAAAAGCCAAAGATAAGCCCCCCACCCCCCACAAAGCAGAAGGCAGAAGGATAATGTTCTTTGAATTTGGAAGCTCTTTTTTTCAGGGGAGTTAACTCACAGTCAAGAAGGGCCTTGTGAATTATTACCCAAACCCAGATGACCCCACTCACATGCACCCAGCACTGGTGATGAATGCTGGGGTCCTGGGCAAGTGTTCTGCTACTGAGTCATATCCCAGCCCCATGTGATCAAACCTTGACAAGACGATCATAAGCTCTGTTGGAAGGAAATTTGTGATTGTCTTCTTGTGCCAACCACCAAAGGACAGGCCAGAAGCCACGTGGAGCAGCTGGGTGATTGTAATAAGCACACCTGGTAAGGTCACATGATGAAGCTGGCAAAGCTCATTCAGGTAGACATTGTTCAAAACAAGAGGGGCTGCCAACAGGAAGCCCTCTGCACATCCTGGTCCACATGCCTCGCTGCTAACCCAGCATTTGCCCAATGTTATAA